ATACACTTCGATCAGGTCTCCCCTCATTCTTCGTCTAACAAGTGAATGTAACTTAAGAGTCTTCAATCTTTCTTCATAAGGAAGATTTCTAATGCTATGTATTAATTTAGTCATCCTACGCTGAATGGTTTTCTAACGAATTTATGTCCATTCTGTAATATGGAGACCAGAATTGAGCTGCATAATCTAGGTGAGGCCTTACTAATGATGTATAAAGCTGCAGTATGACCTCTGGACTTCTGTTGCTTACACTTCTTGATATAAATCCCAGTAATCTATTTGCCTTATTACGTCCGCTTAGGCATTGCTGTCTTGGTTTAAGGTTGCTGCTACCATAACCCCCAAGTCCTTTTCGCAATCTGTATGGCTAAGTTCTACATTATTTAACTTATAAGTGCTAGGGTTATGGACACTCCCGAGTTTCAGAACCTTGCATTTATCTACATTGAACTGCACCCTCCCACTTTTCTGACAAGAGTAAAGTTTGTCTAAATCCTCCTGAAGTTCCTAACATCTACGTTTGAATCAATTATCCTACCTATCTTCGTGTCATCAGCGAATTTGCTCAAAATCACTAGTAATTCCTTCATCAAGATCATTGATATATATTATAAACAACAACGGGCCCAAGATGATCCCTGTGGAAGCCACTTGTAACTGATCCCCACTCGGATTTAACCCCATTTAGACACTCTCTGCTTCCTGTCTGTGAGCCATGACTCGATCCACGAGAGCACCCTTCCCCCAATGCCATGAGCTGCTACTTTCTTCAACAGTCTTTGGTGCGGAACTCTATAAATGCCTTACTAAAATCTAATTTAAATAATATCAAATTTTTTTATCATGGTCAACAGCCTCAAAAGCTTTACTGAAGAAAGTTAATAAATTAGTTAGACAAGACCGGCCTCTTGTAAAATCCATGCTGAGTATATTAATCAGGCTATGTTTATCGAGATGGCTTCTTATAATCTCAGCTATAATTGACTCTAGTAATTTCCCTACAATTGAGGTCAGGCTTATTGGGCGGTAATTTGACGGTAACGATTTGTCCCCTGTTTTAAAAATAGGAATTACATTCGCCATCTTCCACATATCAGACACTACACCTGTTTGAAGAGATAAATTAAAAATATTAGTTAAGGTTCACAGACTTCCATTTTGCATTCCTTAAGAACCCTTGAAAAAACCTCATCAGGACCCGGTGACTTATTTTGCTTCAGTCGGTCTATCTGCTTCACAACCATTTCAACTGTTAGGTAAGACACAAAATGCAACAGTTAGGTATCTTTATTTTGAAACGTTTCCCCTACACAGTGGCTTCTTCAGTCGGTACAGAAAATTTGATAGAAGCAGAAGATACTTAAAGACGATGTAATCAGTCCATCACCCTTAAAGTTTTGAGGTGGTCAGTCCCTCAGTCTGGAGAAAGCATTGTTCCGTTGTCTGAAACAATATGAAGTTGAAGTGACAGAATCGGGCCTTATATAGTCCCAGGAGGTGAGGACGTAGGTTGATTTGGGAGGGCAGGTCCTTCTCAAACCCAGCCGTTCTAAACTAGTAGAGGTTGTCGAATTTAGATGGTCTGTACCAAGATCCCCTTGTGTTGCAGTGTCTGACAGAATGAACATTAAAATGGTATAAAATACCGACAGATTGTTAGGTAAGACACATATGCAACAGTTAGGTATCTTTATTTTGAAACGTTTCGCCTACACAGTAGGCTTCTTCAGTCGAGTACAGAAAAGTTGATAGAAGCAGAAGATACTTGAAGACGATGTAATCAGTCCATCACCCTTAAAGTTTTGAGGTGGTCAGTCCCTCAGTCTGGAGAAGAGCATTGTTCCGTTGTCTGAAACCATTTCACTAGTGACTGTGATGTTACATAATTTATCTTCTTCTGAACCACTATAAAAATTAATTACCGGAATATTATTAGTGTCTTCCTGTGTAAAAACCGAGAGAAAATAATTATTTAAAATCGAGCACATTTCATTCTCTTTGTCAGTAAGATGCCCATAGTTATTTTTAAGGGGACCTATCTTATCTCTGACTTTTGTTCTATATACCTGGAAAAAACTTTTTGGGTTAGTTTTAGAATCCCTAGCAACTTTAATTTCATAGTCCCTTTTAGCTTTTTTTCCTTTTTAATGTCCCCCTTAATGTCAATATACTGATTCATAAGATGACCCTCGCCTCTTTTTATACGCCTATAAATTCCTTTCTTATGCCCTAGTAGATATTTCAGCCTATTATTCATCCATTTTGGGTCATTTCTATTTGATCTAATTCCTTATAAGGGATAAACGTTCTTTGAGCAGCATGTATTGTGTTCAGAAAACTGTCATATTGATAGCTCTCTTCGTTACCCCAGTCAACAGATGATAAGTGTTCTCTAAGCCCATCGTAATCTGCTAAGCGAAAATCTGGGACTGTTACTGAGTTATCCTACTATCATACTTCCATTCAATTCTAAATGTAAATTTATTTGTGGTCGCTAGCACCCAGTTCCTCTGAAACTTCTAAAAATTATTTAAAAAGGGATTCATTGTTTGCCAGAACTAAGTCAAGCAGGTTATTTCCCCTTGTAGGTTCTGTCCCCAAACTGCTTTTAAAAAACAATCCTGAACTACTTCTAAGAAATCGTATGATTCTAAATTCCCAGTCAAGAAATTCCAATCAATATGACTAAAGTTAAAGTCTCCTAGAATTTAAATACATTATCGTGCCTTGTGGCCCTAACAATTTCCTCCCATAGTAGTCTCCCTTGGTCCCTATCTAAATTTGGGGGACGGTATATCACACCTAAAATTAATTTTTCATGCCCCTCTGAAAATTCTATCCAAACAGACTCTGTATGTGTTACTTCAGACTTAATACCCGTTTTTATGCAACAGTTCAAGAATAAAGATTCCCATGTGTTGCATAAGCATTGGACAAATATATGAGTGGGAGGGGCTGGGTTTGATTGGTGTCTTGGGTAAGGGTGTAAATTCTTGGGTAGCTTTGGGTAGGGGTGGTTTTGATAAGGACCTGCCTTGTATGGGCCAATAGGCCTTCTGCAGTGTTCCTCCATTCTTATGTTCTTATGTCTGAGACCAGCGTTGAAAGTTATTCTGCCTTTGCAGCACAGCCTGAGGTCAGACCTCTTTGTTGAGCGCCTCATGAACCAGGCTGTTGCTGCTAGCGGCCCGCAGGTGTGAAATTGGCTGTGTAAAGATGTCTGGAGGAGCTAAGGTACTGTGAAGATGACCGGACGACTTCAAGTACTGTGAATATATGTGGAACCCAGATACTGTGAATATATGTGGAGGACCTCAAATACTGTGAATATATGTGGAGGACCTCAGATAATGTGAATATATGTGGAGGACCTCAGATACTGTGATTATACGTGGAGGACCTCAGATACTATGATATTTGGAAGGCTTCAGGTACTGTAAAGATGTTTGAAGGACTTCGGGTACTGAGTAGATGTCTGGAGGACAACACAAAGGCGCAACTTCTCATAAGAGTACAACGAAGATTTCCGTTGACACCAGTGAAAAAATTTCATAAGTTACCCAGAGGGTAAGACTATTAAGTGGCCCCACCCATCCTCTCAGCGAACATGCAATCATTAAAATAATACATTTGAGCACAAATAGTAGATATTCAATTGGTGATATCAACGCCGTTCTTGGTAGGTCGGATGCGCCATTTGTGATATCAACCCCGTTCTTGGTAGGTCGAATAGGCTGTTAATCGACAATAACCCATTATAACGATGTTTCGTTTTAAGGGACGCCTTATCAAGTTACACAAAACACGTAAAAGTACCCCTTATATAGTCATTCCGGTCAGATGAAGAGTGAGTTGAGGACCTGGGTTATGCTGCGTTAGTGAGGTCACATGCTGACAAGTAACGCCCGACAATTTGAGTGGAAGGTTTAGCTAGCATGAATGCACTCTAGCTGTCTTTATAGCATCATCGAACAAACACCATATTCCATTAATATGTTTGTGATTTGATCGAAAACCATTAATTACATAACTATACCCTGTATCTTCAATATATTTAGCATCTTAGCTGGAGTCGCCACCATTCCTTGCGCTGGATGCAATAAATTTTATGTAGGTGAGATAGTCCGTGTTCTCAAGGCATGACTGTTAGAATAAACATGAGTGTAGACTAACATCAACAATGTGTGTGTAATACATAAAGACAAAACTGCAATGTATGGCCGTGGACAGAGTCCGACTCGTATTACACGAAAATGATTATGTCAATAAAGAAAAAAATATATGGAAACCTACTTCAAGACCTGTGATACTAGAGAGCAAATCCAGGGTGCGGTAATGCTTGTGAAACCTCTTAACTAAAATTCTACATCACCTGCCGTCAAGTGACCTCACCCGTGCCTCAGCACAAGTCACTTAACCCAGGGGCTCACTTCATTGTTCGCATGACCGGACACACTATGTTAGGAGTTATTTACATATTTTACGAACCTCATGAAGTTCCTTTTTAAGCGAGACGTTCTTAAAATAAGGGTTTATGCTGTCATGTGTCGTAATCCAAACCCATCCTTCGATATTTGAACATTCAGGTATCCCTGCCTTTATAAATTACTATTATCTAATTGCACAAAATCTTTTATTAATTTTGAAAAATGCTACGAACATTAGTTACAAAATGCTTATACTGTTTATAAATATTTGTGGTATCAATTCTGGTACGCAGAGGTTAAATATATAAAATAAGAGAATGGGGGTAATAAGATAATTGAATATGAGTATTATTTGGTTTCCAGGACCACGTGAGATGCCTCAGGCCCCAGGAGAGAGAAAGAGAGAATTAAAAAGTGTAATTGGAAGTGTAATATTTGCAGGTGGTTGATATAATAGTTATAATTTCTAGCAATTACAGTCATTAGCGGGACAAAGCAAGCACATGAAGGCTACATTATTTATTTCAGATAATTTCGAAAGGTGATGCAAGGTCAAGGAGGTGTTCAACTTACCTTGCGTGTGTACCTTCAGCTGCTGCAGGATTCTCTGTGTTAGCTGTAGTGTTATAATTGACATACGTGCCAAATGATACTCTCTGAGCACCTTGAAGTCACTCATACAATCTTGAACAGCTTCGGGCAGTTCAGTGGGGCAAGTAGTTCCGTAACGTTAAAAAATAGATTATGTAGATTTGTGATAAGTTGAGATGCCGCTTCTTCGTCAAAGATGTCGAAGATAACACTCAGATATCTACTACAAGCGTTCGTCACCATACGAATTTTTGACAAGATTATTAGACAGCATTCAACGGAAGCCTCTTCATATATACTATATATTGTCTTATCAGTCACAAATTCACTTTTATTTTCCTCCACAGCGAGGGGAAAGCAAGAGAAAGCTTGAGTTTCCAGCTTTTCGTTTACCACAGATCCATCATTTTGAAGTTCTCCTGTTCCATGTCTTTTCTATTTGTTTTTCAAAATCCTTCCAGCCTTACCGATGAAAAAAATATATATGTATAGAGTTTTCCACACAGTTATTTGTTTCTCATAAGTCCAAAATAAAAGTAATAGTCTCCACTAAGACGATAGAAGTCCCGGCATCCCATTCTGAGCGAGAAACCGCTCTAGGGAGGCAGGAAGACTTGTGTGTGTGTAGGTTGCGAGCTGCTGTGTATATGTGTGCTTCTGACGGTGGCGTAGCGGGGACTGACTTGACTCTGTCACGCACTGCTCTGCCACGATGCCTCATCTGTCCCACTAGACAACATCATCCGCAGCAAAGATGGCCTTGGATACGGACGATTTAAAGTTCGTCGAGGTTATTAAGTGGGTACTTGATTAATGGGCATTTTTTTTAACTTACTTGATCATCACAGAGAACCCCAGAGAGGAGGGGTGTTCGTTATCTCCAGTCCTCGTGCGCTTGACTTAACGTAATGTATACAACTCGTTTTAAATGTTACCGCCATTCTTCTGCAAGAAATGAATTTTTAAAGAAATTAAAAAAAAATATATGGCTTTCATCTGTCAACAAGACACTGAAGTAGAGAACAATGCTCTGCTTTCTTAAATTTATTTTATCTCTAAAGGAGTAATCAGTTCTTGCAACTCACTGACACATCCCAACCATCCTGACGTTTTTTGTGTATAACCCATGTCCTGACCAGTACAAAAACACGAATTCCATACTAGTCCTGCTGAGACAGAACTGATGTATTCTCCCTTTTGTTCTCTCTGCACTAAACTGCATATAAGAGCAGCCAAAAATTCTGAGTAAATATTTTTGAAGTTATTTTCCATTAGACGTTCAGGCCTCCCAGCTGAGACGCCTGGATGGATCTGAGGGGCTCCTCACTTGTCCTTCCTGTCCTTGGATCGATCCTGATTCCCTCCCATTCTCCATCCGCTGTATAACTCCTATGTATTTAGCGCTTCCCCTCTGATAATAATAACAATAATCATGATAATAATAATCGGCACCCATACGTAAACAAGAGTATGAGGGTATTTGTTTAACATATAATATTACCATCACATAATTTCAACCTTAGTCTATGAATGGAAATTTTATAGATTTGATTTTCTTTATATATCTATTATCACTGGATAAAATCTTGCCATAGTCATCTACTTTTTTATATAATACTAGAAATACTGCGATAGCAATTTTTTTATGTAAAGTTCCCTGTGGAATTGTGATACCTTCAACTCTGACGAGAAATCTGTTTCGTATAGAGAGCTTACAAAGGAACACCGAGCACCGTGAGTCGTCTGCTACTATCACTCTGACTATGTGTCAAGAAATACCTGTCCTGTTTTAGAGTGAAGAAAACACCAACATCCTGCTTTGTATAAGTGCTTACTCAGGTAACATTTGGTCAATGGCTGGCTATATTATGGGAATCGTTCGCAGTAACACCATTAAGATCAGGAAAGCATGCCTAATGGCACCATTGCTCCCACTAGTTCCAGAGAATTACCAAATACCATGGGATTCCTGCGTACTAGTACCAATGAATCATGGAATAATATGGGAATAATGCCAACTGTTACCATGTGATTTTATTCTACCACTACTATAGAAATCTTTTCTCTGCTGATTTTTCTCTCCGCTGTCTTAAATATTCTACTTTTTCTTACATATTCTTGCTTCAAAAGAATGTTGGTGTTCTGAGACTTATAATGACGGAAGTTTAATGCTGAAATATTTTTCTTAACTCCTCTGACAACATTTAATGACGATTATGGCGGTAAAATTAAAGAGGAAAGACACGTAAATTATGTGAACACAGGTGATTGGAGAGAACGGGGTCAGCATTAAGTTAATTCTTCTGCTTTATTTTAATGAAAGATTTCTCTGTTTTCGTATCTAATTTTGATTACCTGGAGTTTACCTGGAGAGAGTTCCGGGGGTCAACGCCCCCGCGGCCCAGTCTGTGACCAGGCCTCATGGTGGATCAACGCCTGATCAACCAGGCGTTGCAGAATGACATAGAATTTTAACTTGTTTGGGAATTTTGCGTTGCGTAAGAATGGTAGTTGTAATTACGCATTACAAAAATGGGCAGACAGACAGTAGCACTCGCGGTAAACTAAGAACACACGACCAGAGTAATCTACAAACTCTCCATAATTTAAAGCAATCACTTATCGGAACTATTGTTGAATCAACATTGCAAAGAGTAAGAGACAGCTCATGACAAAATTAAACAAGTCGAGGGAAAAACTGTTAAATCAATGACCGGCGAGAAGATGAAGGAAGAGTCAAGGAGACCTTTGAAACACACCGTCAGGTGGCAAGATAAACAATACAAAAAATATTTTTGACTCCTGTTCAAGATTTTCACTAGAACGGGAGGAAGATTGGCGAAATACTTTGCTTACTTGAGTCTCGAGATATGTGAAGACCTTAGCACTGTTTAAATGAAAAAAAATCTTTCCCAGGGTTATCACACGTGACTGGCACCACATTAATTAATTGACCATGGCGAGGCTACTCAGTCACTGTGACGCTCTGTTTATATACAGTAAGAAAAACAGAGCTACAAGATAGAAGAAATGTGCAAGGTGCAGTGTATAAGGGCAAATGCAATTTTGTTAGTGAAGGTCTCAAAATATCAAATTGACAATTATATCATTTTAAGTTCCACGTACAACACTGACCTGCTTGCCAGTTTTTGCTTCTCTCCAAGGGGAAAATTTGCAGAAAAACACTCGAACAATAGAAACTGTCATATATACGTATAATAAGTGAGAAAAGTTCTCAGAATGGTAATGTAAAATATGTTTCCTCATAGAGTCCATGGCTACTTTCAGAATTAGCGCCATTAGCGAGTTTGTTATTGTCATTGCAGATCCAACACTGTTCATACTTTTAACACCTGACAGTAGTATCTAGGGCCCGGGAACCTACTGATGGAAATAGTGAAAGCTGTATAAAGTTTTTCTCTTCACTCGAGAGGTGCAAACAAATTAATTAAATCCAGCATAAATCACCGATATTGCTTGCTAAACTTTTGCTTTCTCCAAGCATCAGTTTTCAGGTATGAAACCTGCAACGAAGGTGGGATGATGACGCTGCAACAGAGGTAGACTGATGATGTTGCAATGGAAGTGAGTTGATAAATTACAACTGATTAGGATGCTGAATCTACAATGAAGTGGCTGATAACGTTACAATGATAATGGTGCCCGTAAATCTTGGAATGACAAAATGTAAGAGGTATTTCGACGAAGATATTCAAAGGTTACTTAGTACACTCCTTCATATGTTGAGAAGATTCTACAAGAGGGCACAGGAAGAGGTGTCTCTGTAAACTTCCAGAGGTCGGAAAATCTAGGTGAAAACAGGGTAAGAAAGAGTCCCAACACACGAACACACTCAAAGAAGGCATTCCAGCACACTATGAAGGTTATAAGAAAAATCTCCATTAAGGCACACAAAGGTGGCCAAGAAACTCCAGGAGGCTAGTCAGTATAATGTGGTGCCTGGAAGCATTACCTTGATAATCCAATTGGCTGTGAGAATTCATATTTAAGAAAACACAGTGAGGCTCATACTGGAATTGAAGGAATAGCCATTATAATGGATGTGGATTGTCGACCAGTTCATGGATGGAAGGTGTATGTCAAGCTATGGCTAAGGATGAAGGTACGGCTATAGACGGAGAACTAGGACCAGGGTCACTTGCCAGGTCACTGGTGGAAAGTGAGCTTGTGGTGGTGGACGGAGGAAGTAAACCAGATTGTGGGTGGAGGTTGTGGCTCAGGTCATAACACGCTCATGTGTGTGTGTACGTGTGTGTGTAATCACCCTGCTTACGGTTGCGGGGGTCGAGTCATGACAACTGAAGCCGCTACTGAATTGATTACGAGAGGTGACACTTTATTCCTGGTCAAATGAGCCAAATCATACCTACTGTTACAACTACGTATTAAATCTAAATCTTATATGGTCATGTATGTGATTCTCATATCTCTTCTTATCTTTTATTAGTGATATAAATCTTAAAAATTAATACGGACAAGGTGATTTCAAAAGATGTTTCACTTGTGATCAAAGTTCCAGGATTGAAACCTTTTCTAATATGTCTTAATATGTGTCTTCGTAAACACATTCTTTCAGTCAACAAGAATAATTTAACGGTTTTCTTAATTTTTAGCCTGAGGAACTATTTTGAAAACAAAAAATCCTGACTCTGTGCCAATAATATAACTTTTTAATGTTTGGACACTACAATACCACTGTGTATTCCACGATTGGTCTAATATGCTTTGTAAACTCTCTCCAAGTTTCAGTGTTCTTAGTATATGAAGAAAATATATACCGAGCAGAGTTCGAAGAGCCCTTGTTCATCTGAGATGATTATTTCAAGTCCAAACAAATAACATGCTAAGTATCTATACAGTCTGAGTTGATTGCACTAAATAATCGTCGAATGAATCAGTGTTTACGGCTTCATAATGTTACGACTGTGGTATTGGAAAGCACAGTTACCATACGGCTACTCTCACGACTTACACTCATCATACTGACTGCTACATTCACTTACACTCATTACCTACTGATCGCTCTGCTTATATTCTCACTACTGTTGTTAGTTAGGAGTCTGTCTCATAAACGTGAATGGAGGAGTGAGCTTCCACCATTTCTTACGCTAAATGGCCCACATAATTTTAAGTACTTCACATAAAATAATCATAACTGTCCGCTAATATGCTGCTGCTGTTGAAAATTGTTGGAACGTTGTGGGAAAAGTATGTACACTTGTAGGACGAGTTCCGAGTGTGAGACTTGCTTGGGGCATTGTATTGATGGTATGATGACACTCTCCTCAGGGAATACCTGAGTTACTTATTCACAGCTTGATAAGATCTACTGATGCACGGTCACTTGGACCACTTTTTCACAGCCCCAGCAAGCTACACTGGGTCAGGTATGCCGCACCTGGGACCTTCCCTTCGCAGGAAACACTAGGTCAAATTCGCAGTGCCTAGGGCTATCACACTACTACATGACCTTCACAGAGCACAAAGAATCGGATTCATAGTGCCTAGGGCCATCGTTCCACCACAGTGACACTCACATGCAATACTAGGTCAGATCCACGTCATTTGGGATCCTCAATTCATCACACTGACCTTCACATAAGTCTCCATTCTCAAGGTGAGGTTCAGAGCTCCTCCGTCATCTCACCTTGATACACAGCATCCTGTACGACATGACAATCTCAGTGCTGGACAGTCTAACAATGGTTATTTACAGCGGGTGCAGAAGTGCATCAACTTGAGAAAACATTTGGACTAGTGAAGACAACGTTAACCATGGTGGAAAAGCA